TGCGCCGTTTACCTGCGCACTAAATGGATAGGTAACTTCCTTCTAGCTGCGCATTTATTTTAATCCTAGCCTCGTTTATACTCTCCTCTTGAAAACCATATCGTTTAATTCCTTTTCGCTTCATCTTATCTTTTATAATAAAGCGTCTTTTAAAGATAGAGCGGTTATATGAATGAGAATGCTCCCTCAAAATATTTTGAAAAATTCTGCTTTGATATGCTTCTCAAAGACTTACGATACAGACTGGAAAAGTACGCTAAAATCTGGAAAATTTTCAAAGTTATTATAATTGAACTTTTTTTCTGTTTTTATATCAATATTTTGTATGACATTATGACCGAGATTTTTGCTGAATGAGTATAAGGTTTAAATCTAAAAGCTACATATAAGCAAATAGGAAACAACAATCTGCCTATAATTATCATAAAATAAACATTTCAAATTGTTTATTTTGTTTTCAAGCATTCTCACCCTGGGATAAAATTGATTGATTTTAAAATCGATCGATCGATGATTGATTAGTTGATTTACAAAGTTAGTAAATCCTCCATTTACAAGATACAAAATTTGACTAGATTAAAGTAAAGTATATTTCCCTCTTTCCACATTGAAGTACCAATCATTAGTACTGTTCAGTAAACATGTGACAGCAAAATGCAAATTAGGAAATCTAGACTGATCAACAAATAAGTGTTTGTTGGAGTCAAGATACTTGTACAGCTGATCATTGCTGATTGTTGCTTCGTACAGTTCATCATCAGTGGATCAGAGTTTCACTGTCGGCATGGATGTCGTTGTAAACAATTTTGAATGCACTTTCTTGGATTTTATTCACATTAACATTTAGAGATTTGTCATGGAACATCCAAATTAGGGGGAAGTAAATTAACTGCACCCTTATGAAGCAATTCATTATCAGGAAACTCTTGCAAGAGCATGCCATTTTTGGCTGGCTCTTTTGGATAAATTTGAGACGTAATTTATGAAATTAGGATTTCCTTTTATTATCAACAGCAAAATTTTTCTTCAGAGCTTGCTCCGACATGAGTTTCCCTGATTTAGATCCCAATCATCGTAGTTTGTCCAAACAGGCGACACTTTTTGGACACTATTTTTGACTTTTCTAAAACTTTCAGACAGTCAGCTGCAAAAATCAAAAATTGAAATACCAAATTACCAAAAATTGAAAACAGTATTTGCCGCTCACAGTCTCTTTTCATTTCATATGTAGCAAAATATTGATAAAATGGTTGACAACACTGAAACTACTTGGATTGCTATATGAAAATAATCAAAAAAATAATTTTAAATTTTTTTATCCGCAGACATCGTGAAGGTGAAAGTGATTTCCGAAGACTGTACTGATCTTAGTGGTTACTGTCCAAGAACGAGGGGGCAGATCTTTGTGAATGGTTACCAGTACAGCCAACAATTTAGAGGAATAAATGTTGCTGTATTTGATTACCGAAGTAGCATTCTAGAAAGGTCAGAAGGTTACGATATTTGGGGAGATCCTCTTAAAATAGATGCCTTAGCAACCATGCTAAACAGTTTGGCTCCTGATAAGTTATTAATTTTTTGTGCCAGAGACTCCATAAAAATGACTACAAGCTTAGCGAATGAGCTACAGAAAGTTGGTGTTCCTGCATCTGTTACTGAAATTGTTAAAGATGACATAACATCAGAGAAAATTTCGCTAGCAGCTATCTTTTATACTGGAGATACACGAATGGAATGGGAATACTCGACAAGCAGCAGGGGAGGAGGGGCTTCTATCATAGAAACTACTTTGTACCCTTTTCGAGACTACAAAGGCTTTACCGGTTGCAGCGAAGAAATTGGCCTCAGAATAGGATACATACCAGATAAGGGAATTTCAGCCCAATCTGTTTTCGATAATAATCTCTCAAAATTTGGTACGCAACATGCGAGACTGCACAGTGCTGAATCCTGGTGCGCAGGCCGATCTTCATCAGTGTCTGTATACTTGCAAGTCGACATAGGTATGCTGAAATTCATTTCTGGGGTTGCGATTCAAACATCGCAATTAAGCCGTGAAAGCCTTCATCCAGTCAAACGATTCTATATTATTTACAGCAAAGATGGAGTCAAGTGGACTGAATTTTCGGAAGATGGAACTAATCGAAAAGTCTTTTTAGGTAATATCAACCTCAAGAGCCATGTAAAAGTAAACTGGTTTCTAAGAACACAGATGCGTTTCATTAGAATTGTGCCATTAGAAAGGCAAACTGACGAAGGCACTCATTGCATAAGAATGGAGTTATTTGGATGCGACTCGGGCGAAGTTGTCTTCGAAGAAACTTTTTCTGCCTCAAGCGGAAAAGAAATTGGGCAGCGTGTTTCAGGCAAGTTTTCATTTCAAGCAGGTGCCCCATTAACGCGTCAAGTATACGTTCACGTGTCTACATCTGAAAATAAAACAAGTCTTGCGAAACACATAGAGCAGTATCATTTTCAGGACATAAACCAGACAGTAAGGGCAAGCAAGAACAATTCACTATCGGCAAACGCAGTGAATATAACGTATGTGACAGCTAACAGACTGGGAATGAAAAGCGCAGCAAGAATACATTTCAACTTGCCAAATCTTACAGATCATTACATTTATGACATTTGGATTCGATGTTGGGTAGGCAAATTCATCCTCTTATAGATCAACTTAGATTTCATTAATGTTATTTATTTTCCTATTAGATAAGTAGACTAAATTCACGCACTGAATAATATTGATTCCCGTGGGCAGCACTGATTCTGGCACCAAGGACCATAATTAATCACACCACTCTGAGTTCATCATTGTCACACAACATTCTTATTTGATCTATTTTAATATTTTTACTATTAAATTCAAGCAATTGAAATTTGATAGGATAAAAACTTTATCAAAAATCACTGGAGTTAGTATCAGGGAAATTTTTTGGTATTTGGGACTGCAAATTACAATCTTTCTTGCCTCTTGCATAAGTTTTGACAGTACTTCCAAATAAAATTCACTTATTAATATTTTCTTTTAATCTATATATGCAATTGTTCTGTTTTTGCAAAAAATTTTGGTCTAGTTTATGCTGTCATTTGTCACATGTGTAATGTGACATGTGTCCCATCTCAAGAGAGTGAGAATTCTGGATTGTTAGCTTTGCATTGGTGGGCATTTTATAAAGAAATCTAGAAATGACCAGCTCACTTTCCTGCACGATATGAGTGTTAAGTGTCAGCTCGTCGTCAGCCTCAACGCCAAGTAGCTTGATGTATCTTGTATGCTCTGCTTCATTGCCTTCTTTAGCCATTACTTCTATCTTTATATTGCATTTTTTATTAATTATAAGAAAAATATCTTGTTGTTTGCCCTTGCTTGCTTTCAAATGATTTGCTTTCAACCATTATGAAGCCATCTGAATATCTTGATCAAAACACATCTCAACTTCACTGTCGTTCTCTTCACAGTAATAGAACTAATGATCGTTAGCATGCTTATCTGACATTTGGTTCAAGTTTAATTTTGTCCAATTTACTCTTCAAATATTTATGTTATCCAATATTTGCTTCAAAAGTTTATAACTTTGAGCAACTTATTTTGCAGGTAGTTGACTCGAAGTTGAATTCCAGCACTGTTTGGAATACATACTCGTACGAAACAAGTGATAGAGTTTTGGTTGTAGCGCTACCATTCGCAATCAAACGTAGAACCCAGGATTACTCTTTAATCGCTCTGAATATCAGTACAGCTCCACAAAATGCAATAGCCACTGGTGATCGCATTGTACTCAACATTTCGTTGACACCTTGGATGAACGCAGCTGAGATAGGACACTCGAATGCATACGAATTGGATCTGTTGGTCTACTTCGAAGAAACTTTTCTTAATCTCCGCTCTATTGAATTTCTTCGATTGGATGACGGCAGCCTTCTTCCTTCCCGAAATACCACCTCTTTTGGCTTTATTCGAATAGAAACCGACACCTTTGGACCCATAAGCAAGCAGAATTTTCAGCTCACCTTTGACGTAAGCATTCCTTCTTCGATTAACAAGGACAGCAAATGTAATACGAATATCATCTGGGAGTTCAAGTATCAAACAAATTTGTTGAAATACAATGGAGAATTGAAAAAGGTTTTACAAAATCTCCTCCCATTCAAGTGTCAAATACCAAACAAGGCAAGAGCTGTGACGTCAACGATCCGTCTTTCCCTACCTGCTTTTAGCATAGTCTATGATGATGTGAATAACGACGTCATCATTTGCAAAAAAGATCTTTCTTTAGCAACATATTATCAGGCAAGCTGTTTCTGGCAAGGAAGCAACAACCTCACATGGCAAGCTATACCAATGATGTATTCCGTTGTGGGCGTTGACACAAGTAAGCGACACCTCTATGGCATTGACAATGCAGGTGAAGCATATGTTCGTTCTAGCTATGATTTCAAAAGTGTCAAGTTTGTTCAGGACGACGAGTGGACAGCCATCCAAGGTCATGACTCTATCAGAAAGGCCAAAAGCACAGACAACCTAGCAGCATTACCAATCAGTCCTACAGATAACTGGATACTGCCTTCTCGTGATAATCAAGTTCTTGCAGTAACAGCTGGAGGGGTAAAAAGAATGTTCAGCAGTGGCTGGAAAGAAACTGTTACGTTTTGAAAGATGGGTTTTGTTTGTACTGTTTCTCCTTCATGCAGAAAATGGAAGACAAGGATATTTATTCCGCTATTTGGAGATTTTCTCAAATACTTAAAAGTTTTATGCTTAAACTTAAACAAAAAACTTAAACTAAAAAACGGTGGGGGCTGTGGGGGGTGCGTAAGGTTTTGGAAAGGAGCTTTGGGGGCTGATAAAATTTGACAAAGTCTTCTTGTGTAAGACTGCAGTGTTCGAGTAAAACATTCTTAGTATTGAAACATTTAAACATTTTGAAAGCAATACGCACCATATTTTGAATAAGGCACAGCGATGCGTTATTCAAAGATTTGGCGAAATCAACCCAACTGACAACAAGAATGCACTGCTGCCATAGTCGGGTGTTAGTTTAGAATATAAAGATTGAAATGGCGCTTGCATTTTGGAATGATAAAAGATAGCACCATACAAAAATTATATTGTTTTTGTGCAATTGATTGTCAAGGCGATCATCTGCTTTTTGTTATGATGAATCAATTTAACTGAATAACAATTCTTTTGTACAATAATAATTACAGAGCATCATCGTTACATTATCTTTACTTTTCAGAGTAAGTCAAGCCTTGGTCTATTTTCCCTGTTGCCGTAGTCGAGACTCGTAAGAGAATACTTCATGGGGCTCACCCTCAAAGAGATCTACTACAGAATAATGAAACATACAGCATAGCGGAATATAATCGAACATAGTTCAACAAGCAATTGTCCAGCCACGGGAGTGTAACCCTACATCCCTATTCTTGTATAGCCTGTTGTAACCATTTTTAGGGTTCAACAATAATCAATTCGTACAGTGTGTTGAAGCATATATGTGCAGTGTAAAACTATACCAACCACTTGTGAGATCTAATGCGAAAACGGAAACAACTGAAAATTATTTAAAAGAGGATCATCATGTCAAAAGCACAAAAACATTGTTAATATTTACTAACAATAACTTTCTAAAATAATACATTTATAAGTTACGCTTTACCAGTTTGTTTTTTTCCTATCTTTATTTTGAAAAGAATGCTGAAACCATGACTGCCTATCAGCCTTAGGACAATCCAATTTTCGGCACTTTTTTAGCAATGAAATGATGTATAGCTGGTTTCGGCTACCAAAACTCCTTCTAAAACATTTTCCAGGATGTGCGGAGTGTCTACATTTCTTTGGGAAATATTAAAGATGTTTTTACAATTACATTAAGAAATTCTCGATGACCTGTTAGACTGTCGTGTCTCAGATCAAATGTTGAGGCAGTATATTATATACGTACATACATATCCTTTGATCAGTCTTCTTTTGGAGAGAACGTTTTACATGCCAAGTACGACTATTGCTGACTCTATTCCCCTTACTGCCCATTTCTGAAAACAAGACCTGAGATCTTTGGATTATAACCTTGGATTATTTAAATTTGTTTGACTTTTAAACATTCTCAATTTAATAAATGCAACAGTAAAGTCACGATCATTCTCAAAGATGCAAAGATGGTACACAAAGGGATCAAATTCATTTTAAATCGGCATGATCCTGTTTGAAAATCTATTTGTCGCAGAATGCCTGAAATTTCTGCATCAGATTGAATTACAGAAGGATAAGAATCTCGTTGACAAAATTTTCAATTTGCCTGAAGCACGTTTTCATCAAGCATTTTAAGGCCACACCCAAATCTAGCGGATATTTTTCGAATATGTGCAATAATAAAGAATACTTTGAGGCAATCGACAGATACTTGAGTGGCTTAAGCCATTTGTCATTCAATATTAGCCAATCAATTGGCATGTAAGTGCCATGATCACTGATTGGTCAATGGATGATTGGCAGATGACTTAGGCCACTTTAGCCACTTGTCAAATCCCAGTTATTTAGCCCGTTCTACGGTTAGAAACTAGGTGCAAAATTTGCAATACACAAGTGTCAATGTAATGTTGAGCTGAGAACTCAAGAGGCAAACATAAAAAAATCAAGTTGACAGCGGTTCTAATGGGTTCCACCTTTATCTCCTTAGAGTTTTTCACTATCTCATTATTTGGCTCTTGCATAAAGAATCTGTCTGTTTTCATTGAAATGATTTAGCAACGTCATTACCAAAGGCAAGACCGACAAATAAGTAGTCAGCAGAATTATTAGGCAAGTTTATCGACAGCAGAAAAGAGAACATCTCGTTATGTTTTTGTTATTGATGTTTAACAAGAACCTCCACACAGTAATGTTAATTTGGAAATGCCCATTCGAGGTATGAGTAGGAATGCAACATTTCACATTTGCAATCTGGCTCATAGCGAACAAGGTGTTCTTCTCGTACCAATTAGGTGTCGCCCATTCAAGCTTTGCTCACAACACCACATCAAATCCAGCTTGCTAGGTGTGAGCTAAAGCTGATCCTATAGTGTGAGCTAGGCTCGACAAAACCTAAAGTGAAGGTGAAATGGAAACACTCAATTTTATGTGCGAAACTAGGCTAAAAATGGCAGCCTATTTTGTACTATTAGTCCTAATGAAAATGCTGAGATATGTAATTTATCGTCATCTGTCAATTCTATGATGTTTTTATATCTAATGGATCAATTTATTCTACCAGGCAACCCAAAATCACCCATTTATCTATCAGTATTTGAGAAAGCAAACATTTTGAGACATTCTGAAGCTTTGCGTCTGGCACTTTTCAGTGTACAAAACGTCAGAACACAGATCGAAAACTCTACGCTATGAAATATCTATACCCAGTTGTGGATGAAGATGGCAAATCAGAAACGCGAGCACATGACTGTAGAGGTTGCCCAATCAGTGCGCTTGCTTATTGAATTGAAGATGTTCCCAATCCTCAAGGACGTCACTTGACGGAGTGGGCATAGGGGTGTTCACCTCCAAAAAAGACCACAGAAAAAAGGCCTTATCACTGGGCAGGTCCGATTTTGGCAAATCTGTTTTCTAGAAATGTATATGATTTGTTTTTTTCTTATATATCTGTAGCGAGAAGGTATTATTTGCCAGTGACACAAAATAGAAGTAACAAGCGTTAGTTTGAACTTAAGGGAATAGATTTCTGGTGAAGAGTAAAAGTGCTAACTGCCACAGAAAAATCTGAGAAAGAGAAAATAGGTCCAATCAAGAGTGAACCAGTGAAAATATTCACAAATTTTTTCCAAATGTAAATGAGACAGTTATAGCAAATAAATATGAGAAAGAAGGTGTCGAGGAATGCATATCAAAAGTAACTTGAACATTATCAGTGCTGAATCTTATGGGTAATCAATTCATAGAAAAGCTTAAAGTGCTGAACCCCAAAATAATTTTCTCATTCTTTTCAGTACCAAAAATTAAAAACAAAATTTGCCGCTCACAGTGTAACGTTTTAACATTAGTAAACTTCAGTAATTGCCCGCAACTCGCGCGCGATAGCGCGCGAGTGAAGGGCTTATAGTCTGCCCCGCGTATAAGTAGTATATGGAAGCTTCAGTTCATAATGTCAGCACTTTGTCAGCAGATTTTGTCACTTCTCTGCTGCCATGACAACTGTCAATCAATTTCATTGTCAATCAATCGGCTTTGTCGAGGAGGTCGTTAACCGCCACCTCTTTGTGCGGAAGGGAAGTATCTTCGTAGCGTTGCTCTGCCAAGACTCTGTTAAAGGCCTTCGGTTTTTTTGGCACGAAAACGGTGCTGCATCACAGCTCGGTTCTCCGCAATGGATGGAAGTTTTGATTCGAAGTTTTGGGAATCAAAACAAGTCGAATGCCACACCTTTCTCCCAAAAACTCGACACCGTACGAGCAAAAGTTATGATTGTCGTGATTATCGCCTGTACATCGCTGTACGAATCCTTTATCGCAATCTATTTTAGCTGTACCCGTTCTATCACGTGTCCATTTTCATACGTCATTGCTTCACGAAAACGAAAAATAAATGTCAAACCCTAGAAAAACTTCATGATTTTCAAAAGGGCGTTGGACTTAAATCAAAGGCAAACTGAACACCAAAAATTCTTGATAAAAAGAATAGTTTAGCATCAACTAGAGCAGCTGTTTTTATAAAATTGTGAAAACCCAAGATGGTGTCTTCTTCGAATATCCTGACCTAAATTTTCAAAACAATCATCATCAAGGAACTAATTGTTTGCGGGCAGTACTAGCAAGAGCTATTTCTAGTTATTATTATTATGTTCAGCTAGATCTTTGATTATGTTGCGTGTTAATGTCACATGTTTGTTTGTCGTGCTGTTGTGTTAGTAACTCCCTTTCCGGGAAATGTGCGTCACTGTCATCGTGTTGTGTGATGTTTCACAGTGTTCCTTTGTTGTGCTTTAATATAATGTAATCCTACTTAGAATAGTTTAGTCTTACTGTTTTGACAATAGAGATAACATCAGAATAGAGTCTCTCTCGTGTTCTACTTATTCGGGGCTTAGGCCCATTGGCCTAGCCCCATCGTATCTTCACCATCCTAAGAAGAACCCTATCATTACATTTGGTGACAGAGTCGGATGGTGGTGAAGTAGAGAAGTAGAGTCGGATGGCGGTGACGAAAAGAATCAATTGAAACTTTTTTTGTTATTTGGTGTTCCTTTTTATATTTTGCGAGGAGGAGGATGGTCGACATGGAAATTAGGAATTGATTTATTCGTGTACTGCTGATTATTATTTTTTATCTTGAAAAATATTGCCAACCAACCAACATACCTTTCCTATAATATGGAGTAGAAGACGATGAAGTTCTGGTGATTTAGGAGGACGTTATTTTCCGAATACAGTTTAGGGGTGCTAGCCATAGAGGGCTGCAGCAGAAGGACGGCAGGATCCTTCGGATTTGACTTTTATTTCTGTGGATGTCATTATGGATTTGGAAATATCAAGCGATGTTGTATGAATTACCTTTGCTTGCCAGTTCATGCCTACGGGCCTCAATGACTCTATGGACCTTTTATGTTAAGTCACTTTTAAATTTTTAAGAAAATTTCATCGGCGTATTTACTTTAAAGAGAGGGGATGGTGTAACGTTTTAACATTAGTAAACTTCAGTAATTATTATTATTATGTTCAGCTAGATCTTTGATTATGTTGCGTGTTAATGTCACATGTTTGTTTGTCGTGCTGTTGTGTTAGTAACTCCCTTTCCGGGAAATGTGCGTCACTGTCATCGTGTTGTGTGATGTTTCACAGTGTTCCTTTGTTGTGCTTTAATATAATGTAATCCTACTTAGAAAAGTTTAGTCTTACTGTTTTAACGATAAGCATAACATCAAAGAACGAGTATCTCTTGTGTGCTATCTACTTGGGGCTAGGCCCGTTGGCCATCGCTCAGCCAACGACCTGATACTTACCGTCATAAGAAGAACCCTTAATCGTTACAACAGTCTCTTTTCATTTCATATGTAGCAAAATATTGATAAAGTGGTTGACAACATTGAAACTATTCGGATTGCTATATGAAAATAATCAAAAAAAATTTCAAATTTTTTTATCCGCAGACATCGTGAAGGTGAAAGTGATTTCCGAAGACTGTACTGATCTTAGTTATGACTGTCCTAGAACGAGGGGGCAGATCTTTGTGAATGGTTACCAGTACAGCCAACAATTTAGAGGAATGAATGTTGCTGTATTTGATTACCGAAGTATCATTCAAGAAAGGTCAGAAGGTTACGATATTTGGGGAGATCCTCTTAAAATAGATGCCTTAGCAACCATGCTAAACAGTTTGGCTCCTGATAAGTTATTAATTTTTTGTGCCAGGGATGCCATAAAAATGACTACAAGCTTAGCGAATGAGCTACAGAAAGTTGGTGTTCCTGCATCTGTTACTGAATTTGTTAATGATGACATAACATCAGAGAGAATTTCGCTAGCAGCTATCTTTTATACTGGAGATACACGAATGGAATGGGAATACTCGACAAGCAGCTTGGGAGGAGGGGCTTCTATCATAGAAACTACTTTGTACCCTTTTCGAGACTACAAAGGCTTTACCGGTTGCAGCGAAGAAATTGGCCTCAGAATAGGATACATACCAGATAAGGGAATTTCAGCCCAATCTGTTTTTGATAATAATCTCTCAAAATTTGGTACGCAACATGCGAGACTGCACAGTGCTGAATCCTGGTGCGCAGGCCGATCTTCATCAGTGTGTGTATAGACAGGGAATTTTTCCCAACAAACTGGCAGAGAGGGTAACCGGAGGTTTTTCACTTGTTTCCACTTTCTTGGACTAATACCTTGAAATTTTGAACGGTGTCCAAATAATTTCTACCTAGATGTCACGTGATCGATGACGTAAAGTTTAACGCTCAGGACAAAATGAAAATCGTCAAATTTGAAAACGAACAACATCAATCGAAAGAGCATAAAAACTGAACAAAAAACGCTTAGAAACGTATATCCTAAAATCAATCAGGTAAAAACTATCACGTGTCAAAGTATTGATTACGTCACCATATGCGCAAATCACAAGTGCGGGAAATTGGAAATTTCCGCCATTTTGGGCCTCTTTTATTGATACTATTGTGTAATATCCATGTTGACAAGATACGAGGCGTAAGTGGTTATGATGTTACAGTGAATATATAAAGGGTTAAGGCATTGAGAAGCCCCTAATGGTTAAGTTAATCAATTACTTGACTTTCGTCTAGTTTAGCACGTTTATATTTTCCAAAGATTTCAAGAGTGATATCTCCTTCATGTGCAGGTGTAGATGAGCTACGCCAAATTTCTTCATATTACCCTCTCCGCCAGTTTGTTAGGAAAAATTCCCTGTCTATAAGTTTTTGTATTGATTTGAAATTCTTTTAGTTTTTCCAAGCGATTTTTTTATATTTTGCGAAAAAAAAATTTCCGGAGGTTCGACACCACCGCAAAATATAAATCACAACCCCACAAATCAAATTTACAACACCACAAATCAAATTTACAACACTACAAAGCGGTAACAAAACCACGTTAGAATAGCCCCTGTCATTAAGCAACACCAAGGATGCCCTTTCATTGCTCAAAGATTAATGACGGCAGTCAAAAATGATAAGAGGGTTATTGAACATTAAAGGGCCTCTCCAGCCAAATTTTTTTATTGACTAGAAAGTTAGCATCTGGTGCATGTATTATGGCAAAGTCGTAGTTTTTGCGAAATTCCAATCAGTTTAGAAGTTATAAGCCTTTAAAGTTGCACCTTTCCGAGAAAAAAACGACAAAAGCCGAATCAGTTTGGTGACATTCTGACGGTGCCATGAATTTCGTATATCTTCCACCAAATCGTGAAGAAGTCATGGTCACGCGCTGATAACTGCATCTTAATCTACAGCAGGAGCTTTTTAGGATCGAAAAGTATCAAATGTTTACAATCATTCTAAGTCGTCTGCAAGACGAATTGAGCAGTTTATAATGCAACCAAACGCTACGGCCTTTCCATCAATGCCAAGAAAACGAAATGCATGGTCATCTCCAAACCTGACCCTGAGCCAGCTTGCAAATTTAAGCAGGGAACGACAAAGATCAAACAAATATCCTCGTTTGACTATCTCGGTGCTCTATTTACCTCCGATGTCCGAAGCAAGAAAGAAATCCGGCGGCGCATCGGCAAAGCTAAGACCGCATTTGACAGCCAGTGGTCAGTCCTCACAGATCGCAAACTTTCTGTGTCAATAAGAACTCGTCTTTTCAAATGCTACGTATGGTCGACACTCATGCACGGCTGTGAATCGTGGACTAAATTATAGATGCATATTGAAGATTTCCCATCTAGATAGAGTAACCAACGACGAGGTATTTGCTCGAATCCATCAAGACAGGCAGCTTCTACCTCAGACAGAAAAGAAACAGATCAGTTTCCTTGGTCACATTATTCGTAAACAGACACTTAAAGATCTCACGCTCACCGCCAGGATCGAAGAAGAAAGAGCAAGAGTGGCCAAAGGAAGACATTTCTGAACAATTTCCCGGAGGCAACATCACAGGAGATTTGGGACACAGCCCGACCTCGAACAGCACCCGACGTTTGATTCGTCAAGGCCCGCATCGAACACGAGACTCTAGTGTCTAGTAGAAGAAGATACAACCATGAAATTAGATAAAACTACAGAGTTTGAAATGCTGAATAAGTTGAGATGTAGACCTCACTTCAAAAAGCTATTTTTAGACTGGGGTACCTGTACCCAATCCTCTTTTGCGTCTTCCTCAATATCTTTGAACTATGCAAGTAATAAGCCTAAAACTTTGTTTTCTGGCGTAACTTTCCATGCTAAATTTAATAAATCAGCTTTTTGAATCAAATAGCCAATCTAATACCGCACATGAATAATACGCCGTTTGAACAAGACCTTAGCCAAAGAACATACGGCCCACGCCACAAATTTCAATGTGGAGAGTTAAAATTAATGAGTCGAGCTTGAGTTTAATGGTCCAAAATCTTTTATATTTTAAGGACAAATAGAAAAATAAGGATGTCGGAGGTGTATATGAGGACAAAAAGGAAATTAAAGAGGATCCGGGAAGTTTCTTGCAGCTGCACCCTCCAGGTTGGCTTTAAACAGCAATACAGCATATTTTGCACAACTTAACTTCCAGCATTTTGCAGCACTTTTCCCTGTTTCGATTCTCTTTTTATTTTGCAAGCACTTTTCACTTTGATTGTCTTTTCAAAGTTGAACATACTAAATGACAAAAAAAGAGAAAATCATTTTGTTTGGTTTCTCAGAGTGAAATTTTGTTTACAATATACGTACCTTGAATACTTGCAGTCTTCTTGCTCTTCCCTTGTTCTACGTAAGTCCTCTCCATTGCTTCACATCACAGAGCAAATCGCTTAGTGAACTCTAATTTTTGGACTTTTAAAATTATTACATTTAGCAATAGCTTGTGCTTAGGCAAAAACATGACCAGCTTCAAGCAAAAGCGAAGTAAAAAGACATCAGGGCAGGTTAAAATCTTATGTATTGCATTGAAACAGAGGTGTTACAGTATAATATGTCGCCAAAAAGGAAATACCGTCAAGAGAAAATATAACAAGATGGCAATAATATGTTTCCTGAAGGCTGCGGTGACAATAATGAATTCATAATTTTGATGGTTTTGAAGTACTCGCGTGAATATTTATTCATTTTTCCATACCTCTGATAAGAAAAGTAACAAGGACAACGTTGATGAACCTTCCCTGTACACCCAGTGATTCATTTGCCTTGTTGATTCCAGCTGATCATCTAGTTGATTACATATAACGGCTTCGTACATCTGGCTGGGTGTGGGCAGCATAGTTAAGGGGCGGTAATTTCCTCTCTCTACTCTTTAACCTGCTTTGTATGCTGTCTTCAGTATACCAATGTTCCATGTTGATAGGAACTTTATCTCAAGGTATCCTTTGTCTGCATATATTTGCCAGACATACACCCATATCATCAGCAAGCACCAGCCATGTAGCTGCAGGGGGCATGGGAGATTTTGACAACAACTTGCCCCCTTGGGCTATATTTTTTCAAATTCAAATGATATTTTGAAAAGCTGGCATAGTTATAATGTCATGAGCTTGAATTATATCTGTTTTTTATTTATATATCTGATATCTAGTTTTAAATCCTGTCCCCTCTCAGGTATGGTTCTTGCTTGAGTTTGCCTACCCTAGTCGACACCTACAGCTACATGGTTGGCAAGCGCCCCTAGCTCGTTAGCTGTAACGCCATCATGTCCTGCAGCTTTTTTAGGGTTGAGCACTTTAAGCTTTTCTGTGTATTGATTACCCATGAGATTCAGCTCTGATAATATTACTTTTGAGTTACTTTTGATATGTATTTCTCGACATCATCTTTCTCAAATTTATTTGCTAATTGTTCTCTTACATTTGGAAAAAATATGTGAATATTTTCACTGGTTCAGCTATTTTCTCTTTCTTAGATTTTTCTGTGGCAGTTAGCACTTTTACTCTTCACCAGAAATCTATTCCCTTAAGTTCAAACTAACGCTTGTAACTTTTATTTTGTTTCACTGGCATATACCTTCTCGCTACAGATATATAAGAAAAACAACAAATCATATACATTGCTAGAAAACAGATTTGCCAAACTCAGACCTACCCAGCAATAAGGCCTTATTTCTGTGGCCTTTTTTGGGGGTGAACACCCCTATATCCCCTCCGTCAAGTGACGCCCCTGAGGATAGGGTTCCATTACCATCAATATACATGCAAACTATACTCTGTAACTATACTAAAGTTTTGACGATTCAGACGAACAAAAATGTTTTCTTGCTATAAGTTATGGTCTCTTCTAAATTCTAACATACTTCTTCATGTTTTACTTGTACACATTCTACAAGAATATGTGCAATGAAATAGAGTAGTTTGTTCTCCTGGTTTTTTTGTTTGAAAACTAGAGTAAAGTGTGAGGTTTCGTGGTGTTTCTATTCCGTTAGTGGAACTAGAGGTATTTGTGGGCTTGACATAGAGGTATGAGTCTACGTGCCAGTGTGACTCTGGCTACGTACGAAGCACTATTCAAAGATGGAGGGACAGAATAAACAGTATGTCTCTTCCAGCATTAAAAACAAAACTTATCCGCAAAGTGAACAGCCACCTCGATCTTGCAGATCTAGAAGTAAAACTAAAACCTGCCATTCTGCTATCGGGAACCAATTGCTGGAAAACCCAGATTGTGCAATAAACTATAATGGCGACATGTTTCGGATCCTTTTTAAAGCCTGACCCTCGTCCCATCTAGCAGTTTTGGAATCTATCTACATAAGCACGAAAAAGTTGGCTTTCACATTAGGACTCCATTGGTAACATCTTCAATTCAATAAGCAAGTGCACTGATTGGGCAACCTCTACAGTCATGTGCTCGCGTTTCTGATTTGCAATCTTCATCCACAACTGGGTATATATATTTCATAGCGTAGAGTTTTTGATCTGTGTTCTGACGTTTTGTACTCTGAAGAGTGCAGACGAAACGCTTTAGAATGTCTCAAAATGTTTGCTTTCTCAAAAACTGATAAATAAATGGGTGATTTTGGGTTGCCTGGTAGAATAAATTGATCCATTAGATATAAAAAACATCATAGAATTGACAGATGACGATAAATTACATACCTCAGCATTTTCATTAGGAATAACAGTACAAAATAGGCTGCCATTTGTAGCCTAGTTTCGCATATTAAATTGAGTGTTTCCATTTCACCTTCACTTTAGGTTTTGTCGAGCCTAACTCACACTATAGGATCAGCTTTATCTCACATCTAGCAAGCTGGATTTGATGTCGTGTTATGAGCAAAGCTTGAATGGGCGACACCCAATTGGTACGAGAAGAACACCTTGTTCGCTCCGAGCCAGATTGCACGTCATGTGAAATGTTGCATTACTACTCATACCTCGAATGGGCATTTCCAAATTAACATTACTGTGTGGAGGTTCTTGATACACATCAATAACAATAAGATAACGAGATGTTCTCTTTTCTGCTGTCGATAAACTTGCCTAATAATTCTGCTGACTACTTATTGGTCGGTCTTGCCTTTGGTAATGACGTTGCAAAATAATTTCAATGAAAACAGACAGATTCTTTATGCAAGAGCCAAATAATGAGATAGCGAAAAATTCTTAGGACATAAAGGCGGAACCCATTAGAACCGCTGTCAACTTGACTTTTACATGTTTGCCTATTGAGTTCCCAGCTCAACATTACGTTGACACTTGGGTATTGCAGATTTTGCAGCTATTTTCTAACCGTAGAACGGGCTAAATAACTGGGATTTGACAAGTGGCTAAAGTGGCCTAAGTCGTCTGCCAATCATTTATTGACCAATCAGTGATCATGGCACTTACATGCCAAGTGATTGGCTAATATTGATTGACAAATGGCTTCAACCATTCAAGTATTTGTCGATTGCCTCAAAGTATTCTTTATCATTGCACATATTCTAAAAAATATCGCCAAGATTCGGGTGTGGCCTTGAAATGCTTGATGAAAAAGTACTTCACGCCAATTGAAAATTTTTTCAACGAGGTTCTTACCCTTGTATAATTCCATATTTCCCAAAGAATTGGAGACACTCCGCACATCCTGGAAAATGTTTTAGCAGGAGTTTTGGTAGCTCAAACAAGCTGTACATCATTTCATTACTAAAAAAGTGCCGAAAATTGGAATGTCCTAAGGCTGATAGGCAGTCATGGTTTCAGCATTCTTTTCAAAATAAAGATGAGGAAAAAACAAACTGGTAAAGCGTAGCTTATAAATGTATTATTTTAGAAAGTTATTGTTAGTAAACATTAACAATGTTTTTTGCGCTTTTTACATGGTGATCCTCTTTTAAATAATTTTCAGTTGTTTCTGTTTTCGCATTAGATCTCACAAGTGGTTGGTATAGTTTTACACTGCACATATATGATTTAACACACTGTACGAATTGATTATTGTTGAACCCTAAAAATGTGACAACAGGCTATACAAGAATAGGGATGTAGGGTTACACTCCCGTGGCTGGACAATTGCTTGTTGAACTATGTTCGATTATATTCCGCTATGCTGTATGTTTCATTATTCTGTAGTAGATCTCTTTGAGGGTAAGCCCCATGAAGTATTCTCTTACGAGTCTCGACTAAGGCAACAGGGAAAACAGACCAAGGCTTGACTTACTCTGAAAAGTAAAAAGAATGTAACGACGATGCTCTGTAATTACTATTGTACAAAAGAATTGTTATTCAGTTAAAGAGATTCATCATAGCAAAAAGCAGATGATCGCCTTGACAATCAATTGCACAAAAACAATATAACCTTTGTATGGTGCTATCTTCTATCATTCCAAATTGCAAGCGCCATCTTAATCTTTATATTCTAAACTGACACCCGACTATAACAGTTAATCATTCATGTTGTCAGTTGGGTTGATTTCGCCAAATCTTTGAATAACGCATCGCTGTCACTTATTCAAAATATGGAGCGTATTGTTTTAAATGTTTCAATACTAAGAATGTTTTAATCGAACACTGCAGTCTTACACCAGAAGACTTTGTCAAATTTTATCAGCCCCCAAAGCTCCTTTCCAAAACCTTACGCACCCCCACAGCCCCCACGGTTTTTTAGTTTAAGTTTTTTGTTTAAGTTTAAGCATAATAACTTTTAAGTACTTGAGAAAATCTCAAAATAGCGGAATAAATATCCCTGTCTTCCATTTTCTGCATGAAGGAGAAACCGTACAAACAAAACCCATCTTTCAAAACGTAACAGTTTCTTTCCAGCCACTGCTGAACATTCTTTTTACCCCTCCAGCTGTTACTGCAAGAACTTGATTATCACGAGAAGGCAGTATCCAGTTATCTGTAGGACTGATTGGTAATGCTGCTAGGTTGTCTGTGCTTTTGGCCTTTCTGATAGAGTCATGACCTTGGATGGCTGTCCACTCGTCGTCCTGAACAAACTTGACACTTTTGAAATCATAGCTAGAACGAACATATGCTTCACCTGCATTGTCAATGCCATAGAGGTGTCGCTTACTTGTGTCAACGCCCACAACGGAATACATCATTGGTATAGCTTGCCATGTGAGGTTGTTGCTTCCTTGCCAGAAACAGCTTGCCTGATAATATGTTGCTAAAGAAAGATCTTTTTTGCAAATGATGACGTCGTTATTCACATCATCATAGACTATGCTCAAAGCAGGTAGGGAAAGACGGTTCGTTGACGTCACAGCTCTTGCCTTGTTTGGTATTTGACAGTTGAATGGGAGGAGATTTTCTAAAACCTTTTTCAATTCTCCATTGTATTTCAACAAATTTGTTCGATACTTGAACTCCCAGATGATATTCGTATTACATTTGCTGTCCTTGTTAATCGAAGAAGGAATGCTTACGTCAAAGGTGAGCTGAAAATTCTGCTTGCTTATGGGTCCAAAGGTGTCGGTTTCTATTCGAATAAAGCCAAAAGAGGTGGTATTTCGGGAAGGAAGAAGGCTGCCGTCATCCAATCGAAGAAATTCAATAGAGCGGAGATTAAGAAAAGTTTCTTCGAAGTAGACCAACAGATCCAATTCGTATGCATTCGAGTGTCCTATCTCAGCTGCGTTCATCCAAGGTGTCAACGAAATGTTGAGTACAATGCGATCACCACTGGCTATTGCATTTTGTGGAGCTGTACTGATATTCAGAGCGATTAAAGAGTAATCCTGGGTTCTCCGTTTGATTGCGAATGGTAGCGCTACAGCCAAAACTCTATCACTTGTTTCGTACGAGTATGTATTCCAAACAGTGCTGGAATTCAACTTCGAGTCAACTACCTGCAAAATAAGTTACTCAAAGTTATAAACTTTTAACGCAAATTTTGGATAACATATATATTTGAAGCGTAAATTGGACAAAATTAAACTTTGAAATACAACTCGGACAAAATTGAACTTTAACCAAATACCGGACAACGTCAAATTTTGACTGGAAATGCTTAAATCATAAGATTCATTAGGTTATTTTCTATCAATATCGTCTATCAATATCAATTCTGGTAATATAATTTGCTTCCATTTTCATTCAATATTACTGTGGAGCCATTTCGAGTCGCACTAACGATTGTCTTCTGTAATTTAAATGAATATAAATAGCATGTGTGTGATTTACTATAATCTCTTTACACTTTCCAATCGAGGAGACACGAGGAGACATGATGCTTTCAAGTACTAGCCAGATTCTTTAAAGTTTGGGCACATCTATTTAAGTCAAAGAAAGAAACAACAAAGTCATGCCTAAAAGGAGCAGCATTTGACCCTTTCTATGGAATATTTTTTCAAAATGACTTCGTCTTCAAGGTAAAGAATTCATATGTGTCAGATAAGCATGCCAACGATCATTAGTTCTATTACTGTGAAGAAAACGACAGTGAAGTTGAGATGTGTTTTGATCAAGATATTCAGATGGCTTCACAATTGTTGAAAGAAAATCATTTGGAAGCAAGCAAGGGCAAACAACAAGAAATTCTTAAAATTAACAAAAAATGCAACATTTCTAGATTTCTTGATAAAATGCCCACCAATGCAAAGCTTACAAACAGAATTCTCACTCACTTGACATAAATATTGGTTTGATAATTACCTAGGTAGGCCTAGCTTTTGTTACCTTTGCATGAGATTGAAGAATCGCGTGAAACATGACAGGATATTGGTGAACTAGACCAAAAATTTTTAAAAAAGCAGAACAATTTCATATATGGATTAAAAGAAAATATTAGGAAGTGAATTTTATTTGGAAGTATTGTCAAAACTTATTCAAGAGGCAAGAAAATTTTTAATTTTCAGCCCCAAATACCAAAAAATTTCCCTGATACTAACTCCAGTGATTTTTGATAATGTTTCTATCTTATCAAATTTCAATTGCTTGAATTTAATAGTAAAAATATTAAAATAGATCAAATAAGAATATTGTGTGACAATGATGAACCCAGAGGGGCGTGATTAATTATGGTCCTTGGTGCCAGGATCTGTGCTGCCCACAGGAATCAATATTATTCAGTGGGTGAATTTAGTCTACTTAGGTAATAGGAAAATAAATAACATTAATGAAATCTAAGTTGATCTATAAGAGGATGAATTTGCCTACCCAACATCGAATCCAAATGTCATAAATGTAATGATCTGTAAGATTTGGCAAGTTGAAATGTATTCTTGCTGCGCTTTTCATTCCCAGTCTGTTAGCTGTCACATACGTTATATTCACTGCGTTTGCCGATAGTGAATTGTTCTTGCTTGCCCTTACTGTCTGGTTTATGTCCTGAAAATGATACTGCTCTATGTGTTTCGCAAGACTTGTTTGATTTTCAGATGTAGACACGTAAACGTTTACTTGACGCGTTAATGGGGCACCTGCTTGAAATGAAAACTTGCCTGAAACACGCTGCCCAATTTCTTTTCCGCTTGAGGCAGAAAAAGTTTCTTCGAAGACAACTTCGCCCGAGTCGCATCCAAATAACTCCATTCTTATGCAATGAGTGCCTTCGTCAGTTTGCCTTTCCAATGGCACAATTCTAATGAAACGCATCTGTGTTCTTAGAAACCAGTTTACTTTTACATGGCTCTTGAGGTTGATATTACCTGAATAAACTTTTCGATTAGTTCCATCTTCCGAAAATTCAGTCCACTTGACTCCATCTTTGCTGTAACTAATATAGAATCGTTTGACTGGATGGAGGCTTTCACGGCTTAATTGTGATGTTTGAATCGCAACCCCAGAAATGAATTTCAGCATACCTATGTCGACTTGCAAGTATACAGACACTGATGAAGATCGGCCTGCGCACCAGGATTCAGCACTGTGCAGTCTCGCATGTTGCGTACCAAATTTTGAGAGATTATTATCAAAAACAGATTGGGCTGAAATCCCCGTATCTGGTATGTATCCTATTCTGAGGCCAATTTCTTCGCTGCAACCGGTAAAGCCTTTGTAGTCTCGAAAAGGGTACAAAGTAGTTTCTATGATAGAAGCCCCTTCTCCCCTGCTGCTTGTCGAGTATTCCCATTCCATTCGTGTATCTCCAGTATAAAAGATAGCTGCTAGCGAAATTCTCTCTGATGTTAAGTCATCTTTAACAATTTCAGTAACAGATGCAGAAACGCCAACTTTCTGTAGCTCATTCGCTAAGCTTGTAGTCATTTTTATGGCATCCTTGGCACAAAAAATTAATAACTTATCAGGAGCCAAACTGTTTAGCATGGTTGCTAAGGCATCTATTTTAAGAGGATCTCCCCAAATATCGTAACCTTCTGACCTTTCTAGAATGCTACTTCGGTAATCAAATACAGCAACATTTATTCCTATTAATTGTTGGCTGTACTGGTAACCATTCACAAAGATCTGCGCCCTCGTTCTAGGACAGTCATAACTAAGATCAGTACAGTCTTCGGAAATCACTTTCACCTTCACGATGTCTGCGGATAAAAAAATTTAAAATTATTTTTTGATTATTTTCATATAGCAATCCGAATAGTTTCAATGTTGTCAACCATTTTATCAATATTTTGCTACATATGAAATGAAAAGAGACTGTGAGCGGCAAATACTGATTTCAATTTTTGTTAATTTTGTATTTCAATTTTTTATTTTTGCAGCTGACTGTATGAAAGTTTTAGAAAAGTCAAAAATAGTGTCCAAAAAGTGTCGCCTGTTTGGACAAACTACGATGATTGGGATCTAAATCAGGGAAACTATTGTCGGAGCAAGCTCTGAAGAAAAATTTTGCTGTTGATAATAAAAGGAAATCCTAATTTCATAAGTTACGTTTCAACTTTATCCAGAATAGCCAGCCAAAAATGGCATGCTCTTGCAAGAGTTTCCTGAAAATGAATTGCTTCATAAGGGTGCAGTTAATTTACTTCCCCCTATTTTGGATGTTCCATGACAGATCTCTAAATGTTAATGTGAATAAAATCCAAGAAAATGCACTCAAAATTGTTTACAACGACATCCATGCCGACAGTGAAACTCTGATCCACTGACGATGAACTGTACGAAGCAACAATCAGCAATGATCAGCTGTTCAAGTATCTTGACTCCAACAAACACTTATTTGTTGATCAGTCTAGATTTCCTAATTTGCATTTTGCTGTCTCATGTTTACTGAACAGTACTAATGATTGGTACTTCAATGTGGAAAGAGGGAAATATACGTTACTTTAATCTAGTCAAATTTTGTAACTTGTAAATGGAGGATTTACTATCTTTGTAAATCAACTAATCAATCATCGATCGATCGATTTTAAAATCAATCAATTTTATCCCAGGGTGAGAATGCTTAACAACAAAATAAACAATTTAAAATGTTTATTTTATGATAATTATAGACAGATTGTTGTTTCCTATTTGCTTCTATGTAGCTTTTAGATTTAAACCTTATACTCATTCAGCAAAAATCTCGGTCATAATGTCATACAAAATATTGATGTATAAACAAAAAAAAAGTTCAATTATCAAAACTTTGAAAAATTTTCCAGATTTTAGCGTACTTTTCCAGTCTGTATCGTAAGTTTTTGAGAAGCATATCAAAGCAGAATTTTTCAAAATATTTTGAGGGAGCATTCTCATTCATATAACCGCTCTATCTTTAAAAGACGCTTTATTATAAAAGATAAGATGAAGCGAAAAGGAATTAAACGATATGGTTTTCAAGAGCAGAGTATAAACGGGGCTATGATTAAAATAAATACGCAGCTAGAAGGAAGTTTCCTATCCATTTAGTGCGCAGGTAAACGGCGCATCTTAGTTCTATTTGTCAATTTAGCCAAGAATGTTTTTATCCGCAATTTGGTACCACAAATTCACCACAGTAAGTTTGCATGGTCGTTATTCAGTCAACTCGGTAAGATCTTTAGATACTATTGAAACGGGTATAGAATTATAATTCATAGCAAGTACAGACTCAGTTCATTAATGTTCTGAATCATTATTTTGGACCCCAATTAACAATTGCTTGGAAAAGAATCCCTGTAAGTTTGCAGTCAACAATTTCGTTCAAATGGATACCAGACATAGTTTAAACTTCAAGGGCCATAGCATATATAGTTCAAAAAGTGGACGTTTTAGTATACGCAAACAATATTTCTGATGCAATGAATACTCCTGTTCGAGTAGAAAAGGAAATGCAAACAAAATTCATCACAGGGTTAATCTCCTGCTTTCTAGGCGACTTGATATAATAGTTTATAATAAAGATTTCATGGTTCTGTTCAAGGGAATCGAATCTCATCTAATAGCAAATGCAGTCTCCAAAACCATGACAGATTTCTGTTTTGGAGACAACAATATTCCTTGCTTATACCTTGTTGGCTGAGGACTGCCTGTCAAAAACCTTCGAACACTAACGTCAATTTTCAAAAGCAATTGTAGCCATCCCTTTTGAACAATAATTGTTTACTTCAAAACTAGATAAAATTGGCTTACTTCAAATCTTTTTTCCCTGATGCGACTTATTACGATATTTGCCGATTATCCGGACCAAAACCAAAAAAGAATAGGCTCAAAAATCAAATCTAGAGTTTTACTTAAAAATCAAGAATAGTTTTGTTATCTTTGGCTGCAAATTGTTGGTACTCTTTTTTCAAATATCATAATAAAATATTTCTGTCAATATTTCCAAAGCTTTTAGATCCATGAAATATTTAAAATCTTTCAATTGAAACACTCTACTGCAATATTTGTTAGACATAAATTCATTATTGTTATTCCCGATAGTATGTCGTGGTCTGATATCAACAACTTGCTAGAGTTTCAGCACCGAGCAGGGTGAAAAGTAATGAGAACGGTTTTGATGTCCTGGGTCAGCCGGTAACAAAAAGCCAGGGGTAGACAATTTGCTGCTAAATTTATAGCTGCCGAATTAAAGATATTGACAAGCAAAGCACCTAATTGAAGACGTTTTTTAAAAATATGAGAGATCTGTCCACAAAAAACTTAGACAAAGTTGTTTCAAGTACATAAATGAACCATGAGATCACCACTAAGGGGTTTAGAAATAATCACATGATAATAATCTTACTCTACCGATCGTTGAAATGATCTTCTTATCTTTGGAAAAATGTTCGTGGCATTAATTGAAATATTGACATACTATTCTAATGGCTGTAAACCCTAAAAGCGGTTGAACACGGGTAACTTTCCATTGCCAATAATCAAAGTGTGATAGCCTTTACCCGTATAAAGTCTTTAGTACCCATTCTATCAAATGTACGGCAAAGGGTAGGCCCGAACTTAGTCGTCTTTTCTCCGGAAAAAAATGATGGAAATGACTAAAATAACAGTCAAAAAATACAATAGCTTAATTTCAAGATGATTTGATAAATGAGAGTATATATATATAGCCAGCTTTGATGATGAAATACGCAGAAAGTTTGAATTAGAATAGTTGCTTTTCTCTGGGGACTAACAAAATTGATTGAATTACGAAAAGTTCAAATTATAGAGATTTTGATTACAGAGGTTTTTGTAAGGATTTATTAAGAGATTTTCAAATGACCAGGGAAATTTGCTCAAATTAGTTCGAATTACACCAGCTCAAATAAGACAGAGCTGACTGCATGACTGTACTCCGATACTTTAACTTCAAACATACCTCGATCATCGTAAAAGTTCCACTTGTATAGGTCATCAGTCCAACATTCATAAAGAGATACTTTAAAGCCAGGTACGATTCTCCCACCGTCAGCATGAACACACTTGCCACTTGCTGGGTTGGCAATGAGAAGATTCTGCTTTAGTTCATACTTTGTTTGGTCGGAAGAGCAGTTTTTTGACAGAATCAAGTAAATGGAACCAACCTTCCTCTCCACACATTTTCCTGTCGCCACGTGTCTTAAGTTTTTCGTGTTAACGAATTCAAAGCGGTCACAAACGAATGTGTTTTGGAGCTTTAGGAAATTATCAGCTTTGTCGTGGACCAAACAAAAACTGGTAGTGTAATGACGAATCACAAATCTGACATTCTTTTGAAAATAGTAACGGTTTATGTCCTGATTGCATTTAGTGCTATAAGTCAGTTCTTCGTCTTCATTTGTACTTGACTTGCCATTGACACCGTGGAAACAGAAGCCAGTTCGAGGATGTTTCAAAGCAAAAGAGCTTTTGTCATACCTCAAAAGACTGCCAATTTCATTGCATTCATCAGATAAGCCAATCTTACTTCCACTAGCTGCCGATGCAGGGCGAATGCATTTCTTTGTTGGTATGTGGATGATTCTGGCTCCATCTTGCCATCGGAATTTGTCTCTACAAACCGACTGGAATACCAACGTCCCAGTGGCCTTTTTCAAAGCAAGGCATTTTCCAGAATAATGTCTTATATAGAAACTGTCTGTACGCATTTGGATGGAATATGAAAGAAAGAAAGTAAGCACGAAGAAGGTAAGCACGAAGAAGATACACCTTGAAATCATGTTGACAAGTCCTCTTTGCACAGCTAACCCCAGGTATTTGATTTACAGAGATCGAAATGCCTCTATTGAATGCAAAGACGTAAAGATTTTGAAAACTGGTGACCACATTGCAGATGCTATCTTATCACCAGTAGTCTTTAATAGGACTCTTGATTGCATTGGTCTTGATTCTTATTTTGATTAGATAATTGGCTTGATTAATTGCCCCTGACTGAGAAATTTGTTGCGTTAATTGGCTCGGTTGCCAAGCAAAGTGAATTAGCAATAATTTGCATCAAAATTTTATTTCTGAATATAGTCAACGAAATTCAACTATAAAATAATTCTAAAATTCATATGATTTATGGAATCTCTGCTAAGACCATAATGATTTTTATGTGCTTTGCTTGCTATTACTAAAACTGAAAATACAATCATTCTACAAGCATATTTGCACAAAGAACAGAAAACATGTTTAGCAAGTAATGGTCTAGCAAATTCTGCCTAGAGGACGTGTCTAATGAAAGGGTGATTTATCATTTTAGAAAAGGTAATGCTTATCATAATTACGCGTACGCGATTATCTGACATAAAAGTTGGTAAAATGAAAAGCTGAATTGAAGTTTGTTGTCAGAGGATTTGTAAACGGAATATCTTGAGACAAGAAAAGGAAGGAAATTTGAATATCATCTGACAAAATGCAAAGGTTTCTGACAAGATAGTGCAAGGCGGCATTTGACTTCCCCCACGATGCTTCTTTAATAAAGAGAAGGAAAATTTATTTGCAACTACTTCTGTGATAAACAGTCAGCCTGACAGAATATATTTTAGTACTTTCCATGACTTTGATTGAAAATCAACACGTATTTGCAAGCTTTATTTGTTCACAAAATGCAAAAGTTTTTCGGCAGATAATTCACATGGTTCAGGAAACTGGTAACTTTTCCAAAATTTATTCAATATAGTGACAACCAATTGAGCCAACGCCCCTTCCCCTACCAAAGAAAAGAGCTTTTAAAACGGTGACTGAGCCAAAAGAAAGCTGTTGGCGAAAAAGTCATGCAAAATGTGGTAGAAGTATCAAACTTGGTAAAGATAGGTTGACAGGCTGTAAAATATAAAGATGTATATATTTAAATATCTTTGTACTTAAATTCATCGCAAGATTCACAGAATCTGGCAGACAGCGTATCCTGCGGTTCTTCCTTCTAGCACACTGTAGAATATAGTTTCCAGTCACTTTAAAGAAATGTTTCTTAAAGCCATTTTTGATTTGAACAACGATCCGATTGGGGATGTTCCAACACTTATCTATTTATATAGTTAGGAACATATTGATCGATGGCAATATTTGCATTTGGCTATAAACGCTTGGTAACCTATAGGAATTTATAAAATACATCAAAAATATTCACCGATCAATCAAATTTGAATCAAAATAGTCCAAAGCACATACAAATTTCCTATATAAATCAATACATTTACAGAATGAGGGAGGATTCACCACCTTTCTCAACAAGGGATCAACAAGCACCTGTTTGTACTTTTTGCATGTGTTACTGCTAAGCATCTGAAGGTAGCTTTTAGGACATCAAGTAGCTATGCATATCGAATATCCTGGTCCTTCCCATTGATATGAACAGGCCCCATGATCCTTATTCATTCTCTTGCTGATTCTACCTTGCTTGCAAATGAGGCTGAACACCTCACTACGGCGAAAAAGCTAGCAATCACACTGCTTACACAATATCAATTTAAAAACAAATTAAGAACAATCCAGCCTCAGATTACTGGTTCTTATAAAAAGGAGTGCCTCACCTTTTCGTCAGAGAGCCTTGACTCATTTTTCTCGACAAAAAACCCTGAGCTATATCTTTCGAAGAATTTTCAGCTGAGTGTGAGTGGCCACAGAAACATCGCAGTTTGTTTTTAACATTTTATAATTAATTTGTTGTTTTGTTTTTGACTCATAGTTTCATTCTAACCTTTTTGTATAAATAAAATTGATTTAGTCTGAATATATCTATTTGCTATCTATTTGCTATTTTGTTAAAAGCCCGCCTCCCGTATCCGTTTAGCATAAATAACGCGGTGCTATGAAACCCTCCCCCCCCCCACAAAAAATATTTCTGTATCCATCGGTAAATTTTATTTCAGGAGAGGAGAGGAGAGGAATATTCTGAAATGTATTTTGAGCTAATCTCAAGGGCGTCGTCTTAAATATTTTCTGCTCGCTTTGCTCACAGGAGACCCTCCTCTCTTCCGAAAAGTCCTTCCCGTTCTTGAGACAAGATTTTAATGGAGCCCCGTATGCCGGGGTAAAGAAATAGACATAACTGATTTATGTATGTTTTTGTTGCTCATTTCCGTCACGTTGCGGTGTTACTTATTTACTACTATTTTATCGATCTTTTGTCGAGCAGCCTGTTATCGTGGCCTCTCCTGTATTCATACACAAAATATTTTTGCTCGTAATTAGAGGTATGTGAAATATTTATCGGAACCCATATTTTTCTTCAAATTTATGGACAATCACAAAAACTCTAGAAAATCAAATTAACTTTTTCCAAAGGTGACTATTAGAACAGGTAATAAAGATCAGATGGCCAAAAAACAGAAATGAAAAACTATACAAAAAACAAAATCAGAGACATGGAGTAAAGCAATCAGGAGGAGATGATTAAATTGGCTGTGCCACCTTATGCGCCTAAAAAATGATACTCCAGCAAAGATAGCTCTTGATGAAAGCCTGAAAAAGACAAGAAAGAAAGTCGGAAGACCGGCAACTAAGTGGATAAAATTGATAGAAAAAGACTAATCACTGACCAACATACAACTGAACATTGTGTTAAATCCTGCTGAAAAAATGTTAAAAGTCCTGCAAGAGATAACAGCAAACAGAGAGAGCTGGAGACGAATTTCCATAATGGTGGAAAACCGCTGACCATGTATTTAAGTACAGGGCTTCATTCTGTGATGATAATCAGTCGGTAGAAATCACCTTAAATTGCACAAACAAGTTACATTGCAAAAACAGTTTGCATCTCTCTGGTTCCGTATCCTCTGTACGTTAAATAAGATTGCACTGGTTGAAAACAGCATGTTTGTCGTTTAATGGACATTTTAGTCGATCATCGATCGATGTTCCGATGAACACTGAAGAAGCACTCAAAAATATACAGCAAACATTTAATTATGATTCGAAATATATTGGTGGAAATTAAGATTTAAATCCAATCAAAGGTTCCTCTTTGTCTTCAGATTTCATTGTTTTGCTATTTATGTTAATTTGTTTTCCACAAATATTTGTCTCGTTATTTAAGCTTTGTATGAAATTGTAATTTCTTATAGCTTTTTTTATAGCATGGAATTGTTCAGATTTTGGAATCATTTCATTTTGTTTCAACCATGATACGGCAACGCCAGTTTCTTTTTCCAAAGCATTCACAAAATCGGACATGCGTTTAGAAAAATAAGCAATTGTTTTATCATCTACATAATTATAGAGCGTTACTTGTTTTAGGAATAGAAATAGATCATTTATGTAAAAGCTGAACAGGTTTGGTCCTAGCACAGAGCCTTGGGGCACACTAGACATACCTTGGGTACCATACTTGCAGTGAGTCTAGTACACAGGGTACACTAGATATATCCTCTTAACAAGAGGTATATGAATCATTTATCAGAACACACTGTTTTAGTCTTTCGGAATAAGAATAAATAAGAACTAGAGCATCTTCATTAAATCCATGCGCTTGTAGTTTGGCAATAAGCAAATCATGTGGAAAACAGTCATCACACCGACGAGATAGTTGTTGTCCTGGTTATTTCGCTAGTCATCAAAATGTGTTGGGATGCATATCCTCATCTATACTCTGCAATGAAGATTGAAAGCGTATAATCTAAATGTTGAACCAATTGCTTGTTGATAAGGTTAATAGAAGAAATCTCCTAGTTTGTTTTTTGCTTGCCAAATAAAGTTGTGGCCATTTGCTTTGTGTGCATTCACGTGAAGACTATGAAACCACACTGGTGCCCACATTGAGTATGCTTTCGTCTTACCGGCAGCCCATAAGAGATCCTTTTAATTGCATTGGTCTTGATTGTTATTACAATAAAATAGCTGTCTTGATTAATTGCATCTATCTGAAAATGTCCCGGCGTAATGTTAAATGCATTAGGAGAATCAAGAATTAAGTGCATTTAAAATACAGCGCTTGATTTGAATCATCTGCATGTTTTCAGTCGACTACCATAATTTTATTCAATATACCCTGTCATATTATGCGACATCGGTGCAACTTCAAATCAATCTCCGTTTGTACCTGTGTCGTCGAATTTAATGTATAAATTGAATTTCGGTGTCAGTGTGATTCTGGCTACGTATGACGCACAACCCAGAGATTGGGGGATAGGATAAAACAGCATGCTCCTTCCGACATAAGAAACGAAACTGTCCTTCGAAGAGAACATCCTCCTCGATCTTGTAGCGAATCACTGTTAAAAAAGGTGGCTTTGCCATCGGTCAACACCTTTTAGATAACCCAGAATGTGTCAAGCTCTATTATGACGACATGTTTCGGGTAATTGGCAGAGCCCGGTCGTCTTTCCATCTAGCAGTTTTAGAATCGATCTACATACAAGCGAAAAAGCCGCCATTGTGTAGACAGAAGGAGTTCGTTTTGTCTCTTGGACTTCAGTGGTGATTTTTCTATAGGCACGCCGTATTTATTGGATAACTATACCGGTCAAGTGCTTGCCTTTTTCAGATTGGCTATTTCGAGTCACAAATGGAAATATACTTTCAATCTTATTCTTTCAGACCCTTATTCTGACCTTTTTTACTTTGAAGAGTGCCAGACAAAAAGCGTTAGTTTATTCAAATTTTTGCTCTTTTTAAAGCCATTTTCAAGATTTAAGTATGATGCGAAATGTTTGCTTTTCTCGTAGCTTTTCTCGTTGCTTTTCACATTAATATTAAAATTTCATAGCAATCTTCAAAATTAAGTTTTGTTGGCCTCGAGGCTAAAGAGGAAATTTTGCACGCTGAAGGCTGAAAACACAAGAGCTAGAGGAAAAGACCTTAGGAACACGAACGCTGCTAAATTTTACGATAACAATATGGCAACCAAGTTTCATGGAAATGAAGAGATGATACCGCAGAATTTGAAGTTGGTACGAAATAGCGGAATCATAGCATACTATAGAATCGATTTTTTATTCTGCACCTCATAAAAAGTATGGTTTAAGGTACGCCAAATAAAATTTCATGATTTTGATATTATTATGGCATCGGATCCATCAATTCATGAGTGTTTCCTCGGCGTTTTTGGCTTGAAAGATTCATTTTCGGATTCAGTACCCCAAATATGGTATTACGCTTTAAAAAACATCATAAGTGAAAAATGTAACGATTTCTATGGTTTTGCTTCT